CGTGTGCGGTTCTCTCAACCGTGACGCGTACACTTGAACTCTATGCCTATTACCATTATTCCCAGTTAGATAAGAAAATGGCCAATTAAATGGGGATTGTTTATAGGTAATATGTGGTTAAACAATATGTGTTAACAGGCTTATGTATCGCCTTGATATTATAAAGATAATCAGTACACACGCATCGTGCGCGCGAATGTAAACAATGTGCACCTGATATACAGGTATGGTCATATATACAATCAACAGGTAAAGTGACTAGAAATATTACAGATGAAAAACAACTATGTACATGTCGTTAACTAACAATGTTATAACAAATATAAAAACTCACCACAATCTGTAGTTTGTGCTTGCTTACACCTTCTCAAAAACAGATTGAGCAAATCTACTTGTGGCTACTCATGGCTACCTGTTGATCTCTAATTGAAACCCGTAGACGGATGACCAAACTCCGGCTTAGTAAAATAATATTTCAATTACCCATGTTATCAATGAAATTAGGTTAACATTAACAAAAATATATATTAGTGATAGTGATCATGACAAAATCAAGCATACGAAGTTAATTATTTGAATGGTTTCAGTTAAACAATAGATTTATTTTAAGTTAACAAAATGACTAAACGCTGGCTGATACCTGTCTTTTGCAAATTACCGAGTACCGACACCCGACTTCAAAGCCGCTCAATTTTATCATTACACTGCAACGAGTTTTTTTGTTGATGTACATCAAAGGATCAAATCAGTGTACTTGTATCATCCACAAGGTGGTGCGTACGGACCTCCAATTTCGTCATAACATATTTCAAGCGTGGAAAGAACGTTATTGAGCATAACCCTTGACATTTCGAGGATTGGTGTACAGCTTACTGAACTGAATATGTTTGTACTCAAATGTTGATTGATAGTGAAAGATTGCGTTTCCGTTGATTTTAGGCAATATTTCATTATACGAACAAATGGAAATAGCTTATTTTTTAAAATTAATAAATACTCTCTTAATTGGCTATACCAAAATTATGTAAATCTTATTCATGCGATTAATGCACGGATAAAACAAATCGTTTTGATATTTGCATCTAATTCAAATGAATATAAAAAAAATATTTTACACAATATATATACGGTCCAATCAATCAATAACAAAGCAACCTAAAGGCCTATCCTTGTTTTCTGGTTATCGGACTTAAATGCTCGTTTCTAAGCCACTATAACTCGTGACATGAGGGCAGATAGTACGGAAGTATTACACACTTTCTTAGTTTCTCAGTTGTGACATATGATTGGTATCTGATGAAAACAAAATGGAAAAGCGCAGACTTGAAAAGCAATAATTTGACCTGAAGACCAAATGGATGTATACCGTAGACGCTTAACCAACAAACTACAACAACAATGCATTATGTCAAAAGATGCTGTTTTACCCAGAGGAACATTATCATTATTAAATGCCAATCAGCCTTTGTTACACTAGGCACAATATGGGCCAAACACTGTCCGGTCAAGCGACTGCAGATTATGAGTGGTATGGGAAAGGGGCACATTATAAATATGCTGTTTTCTATCAGGCCAGTTGAAGAATAACAACGACTCGTGATAGGAATGACCATTGGAAGCACCAACTACCACACTCTGTAACTAGGGAACTACCACACTCTGTAACTAGGGAACTACCACACTCTGTAACTAGGGAACTACCAAACTACCACACTCTGTAACTAGGGAACTACCACACTCCCACACTCTGTAACTAGGGAACTACCACACTACCACACTATGTAACTAGAGAACTACCACACTACCATATTCTGTAACTAGGGAACTACCACACTACCACACTCTGTAACTAGGGAACTACCCCACTCTGTAACTAGGGAACTACCAAACTACCACACTATGTAACTAGGGAACTACCACACTCTGTAACTAGGGAACTACCAAACTACCACACTATGTAACTAGGGAACTACCACACTACCACACTATGTAACTATGGAACTACCACACTATCACACTATGTAACTAGGGAACTACCACACTCTGTAACTAGGGAACTACCAAACTACCACACTCTGAAACTAGGGAACTACCACACTACTACACTATGTAACTAGGGAACTACCACACTCTGTAACTAGGGAACTACCACACTACCACACTCTATAACTAAGGAACTACCACACTCTGTAACTAGGGAACACACTACCACACTCTGTAACTAGGGAACTACTAAACTACAACACTCTGTAAATAGGGAACTACCACACTACCACACTCTGTAACTAGGGAACTACTACACTATCACACTCTGTAACTAGGGAACTACCACACTACCACACTCTGTAACTAGGGAACTACCACACTACCACACTCTATAACTAGAGAAATACGTCCGTTAACCCCTGAAGTAGCTTTTGCAATCTTGATACACACTCGTCAATCATCTACATAGATTAATTACATGTTTACTTATACAGAAAGTCGGTTTTGCAAGTGTATCTTACCCTAGCCGTGTCCCGATCATACTTTACTTCACTGAAGTAATAGCAGGAAACTTGGAACTCCTTCCACTCTTCCTCATCATTAAACGGACAACTAGCAGCTTGAAATAACAGAAAGTGGACACGTTTCATAATATAAAACTTCAGTCATTATTGATTAAAAACTAACCAGTTCGTTACTAAATTTTGAAATGTATTTAACTAAAGGGGACTGATACATCGCCCTTTCTGTTTCAACAGTAGTTAAGGCTAATTTAGATTTCCACCTAGCTCACCGATGAGTCCTAGATCGAAGGACAAAACAACTGTATGGTACAGTGTAATTGATGTTTGGCATACTGTATTTATTATAAGATTATAATGGTGCTACACACGTGTGTGTTTTATGTTCACAAAAGAATACACAAATATCTTAAACTTAATACAATACCATACACCCTAAAATACAAATGAAAGGGTGGACCCATAAACACAACATGTAAATATACTGTACAGTGCAAATCAAATGGTTGCTCACAAACCTTCATTCCGGATATTTAGATAATATACTAAATAGCAAATTATATACGTACTAGCTCATAAATAATTACAACTATCTGAACAAAAGGAGTAACACAACTCCACGGTGTGATACCTTTCATACAACCACAGGGTTTTTGTTATTTTACATAATGTATTGATATTTATTTAGCATTATATAGAGCTGACAGTCATGTCCTGTCATTATCCATTCCTACGACAGTGTAAGGATCTGTGTATAAAAGGTATATTATTTAATTTACTGCACTCGTGTCACAGCTTATTAGTCCAGGCCCTGATCATGGATATAACACACAGGTATAGTCTGTATCAGTTGGCACTGTCAGCCCAGGCCCTGATCATGGATAGTAAACAGATATATTCTGTCTCAATTTGAATGTAGCAATAAACATATATTTTATACATATATACTACGTACTGAGTGTGATATTATGTCCAGGAAGGCCATAACCTTACACTAACTTAAACGATACTTGAATAGTATCTCTCTTTTCAAAGATCCTTTATTCAGATTTTACCAATACATTTAAATCATATTCGAACAGTTAACCATGATATCTCTAGGATCAAGTTTTACTATAGATGAAGGACGTGGGGCTTGGGGCGTTATGGGGCATTTTCTTTCCTGGAGCAGATTTCTTTTATTGTACATGCCTTTTTACGAAATACCACTAGTAAGACTATGTTTAAATGCCAATATTTATTTGGTCGTTTGTTAATTTGCCTCAAAATGGCCAATTAGCAACGTTAAAAGCACACGATATTCGTGCATTTTATTGTGAAAAATGTGAATTTATATATATCTTTGTTACGCCTTATCTCCTATACTTGAAATCTCATATTTGCGTCCTTCGTTTATCTCATTTTACGAATATATAACTATTAATGCTAAATCAACGATGGGGCCAGAAACCCTTTACGCATCTAGTCCTTTAACAATAAATGTATAAAGTATTTTACTAACCTGCTACTGCACACAGACTGGATACTACGACCAATATTAAATACTCGTTCATTTTGCTGTAAACGGCATGGAAGTCGTACTCTCACATGTGTTGTTAAGCTATTTCAGTATGAGAACTAACACTTACATTCACGTCACAAATATATATTTAAAAACATATCCCATAATTCAGCTGATGTAGATATCAACACATTCATTGCAGGAAAACAACACCTGACCTTTCCATTATGAAACGTGCAGGTCATATAATTGTATTATCTATTAGATTTTTGTCCTGTAATATGCTAGTTATATTTGATTACTATTAATGACACTTGTTTTCGTTGATTCCTATTCTCGATAAGCTGTAATCATATAACAAATTGTCTCTTTAATTTCGCTTTAAAAGTTTTCTCTTTTTTTTCAGATGACATTTCAGCCGTTTTATAATAATAATGAAACTATTAATTTTACGGTCCATAAATGACGACAGTATATCCAAAAGTCCAATTAATTTGACAAATTATCCCTATGTAGCATAAAATCTTGCTATATTTCGGTGTAAAAGCCATTAAATTTAGATAGAAGTATCAATATTTAAAATATAGTTTTTCAAGAGACTTTATATATTCTTGAACAAACGACAGTACGGGGTTCAAAATTATATCTCGTCCAGATATTGTTAGTTCAATTAAGAGATATTATAAAGAAAATTTATAACGAAATTCCATATCTACTAAAATTCATCATTTTCAGTCGAAATATATTAAGCTCATGTATCCCAGTACATGTATAACACTCCTGCTTTTCTGTCAAGGACAAACGCTTTCTGCTTCTTAGAGGCTTCCATTTCTGTGAAATTACCTTTTCGGGGCGTTTGGAAGCGAGTAATTAAAAGTAGTAAGCCATATTTTACATAACTAGTTACATTTATGGGTTATTTTGATACGATGAAATATAAAATTCAAAGCGTCAAAACATAAGGACACTATCCGAAATACCACATATCATCATAAAAAACCGGCGGCGAAGCTGCACTGCATGTGGCACAATGAAGATTTCTCGCATTTTCATATCTCAACTCGAAAAAAATATGTAGTTAATCTAAGATAAATCGTGAATATAAAGGTACTTAATTTTCAAATTGTATGAAGACAATGTTTGCAGAGCGTCTTTTACAATATAAATATTAACTAATTAACGTAAACATGATAACCAGCCATCTAGAGTTTTGGGCCGTTTTCCTTCCTTTCCTCCCATTCATATTTTATCTCAAAAACCAAATTGTTTCCATTAAAAATACATAATGTGTGTCCTGATGTGTAAAGACCGTTGTCATAAATGAGGACGCCATAAAGCATTGTAATGAAAAGATTGGCATACGAAATCATTTCAGGGTGTTACCTACAAGCCTAACATGTTTAATAACTTAAAGCAGGTTTACCATACGAGTCGTTAGTGGGAATACCGATATCTGTTGTGAAAAAAATATCTTTATTCATGGTAGACACTGAAATATGAATACGTTCAGGATGACGATTATTACATTTGGTCAATGTGTAAGTCTAAGACCCTCAAATTGAGAATCCTACCAAAACAATCCATTACAGATGTATGTACACCTAACTGATAGAGAAGATTAGATACCCTGTCCTGTCGTCTCATTCTCCTGGAAAGAAAAACCAAAACATACGTCTGCATTCGACCTGAAAGCGACCACAAAGGAAATTTGGAACATTGGATTCTATACATGCCAATGAAGAAATAAAGACCACAATGTTTGCATCATCCGTGTTGCTTGTCGCGGGGATAAAGAACGAAATATTTGTGAAAATATTTGACCAAACATAGCAGTGTAAGTTTGTATTCCCTCACTAGGTAACATTAAAAGACAAGGCTGATCAAAAACTGGAGTTAAACAACAAAATAAAACCTTTGGGGGAGTCCGTGTCTTGGCTAACCGTTCTTCAAACCGAGGGAAAGGCAAATCACAGAAAGGTGAATGGTTGTGTAGGTACCATTAAGCTTAACCACGTTTTAGCACTTGATATTGATGTGACATTCGTGTTATTAACAGATGAGAGTATGTCCAAGTTCGGTTCTCCAACGTTAAACGCAAATGAAAAACAAATACAAATTGTGAAATTCAAACAAGAGATAAGGCGAAAACATTTTCAAACGTAGTTTTAAGAAAACAGAGAACGAGATCTATAAGTAAAAGAATGTATGAGAACAAACAAACATTTGTTAATGTAATAGAACAGATACAGCCTAACGTGTTTCCCGGCGATACAAATAGTGCAATGTGTTAAGGCTCTTCCCACAAAATAAAACAAACAACACATATGTACTCGTTGTTCTGGCTTCGCAGAAAACCACAATTCTCGGAATCGTTTCATTACTATTTCCACGAATTTGTTTTCGTTACAAAGTCCACTAGGACTTAATGTAAATTCGCCAAGGGCATTTTATTACTTACTCAAAGCCACCATTGTTCTCGAGTGACATCAGCGCATTCTTAAGTTACCAAGTCGTTGTGTAAAGAAGTGTACACTCGTGAGTAACGAACAGGTAACGTATCGGAATTCCTCAATGTTAACTTGGCTTTTATCGGCTCGTTAATTGGACTTTAACACGAATACGCCTTTTGTCACGTGCAAAAGGGGCCACTTTTTAACTATTATATTCGTTTGTACAATATCTATTTTGCAAACAAAATTCGCTTTTTGGATTTTTCAATAAAATCCTTGATTTATTTCTTTATCTTTTTTTAAATCGATGGAGATGACTTAAACTGTAATCTGTTCACCATAGGTCGATGTTTGAGTGTTTGAGCGGGGGTTTAAGTGATATAAATATTAGGGTGGTGGTATCATTGGATATATATTAGTATCAAGTTACAGCAGTATACGTAGCCGGTGTGGACAGTGATCACATACAATTGTTTTTAGTTAAACCCGTGTTCAATCATTCCGTTCCCCGCAAATAAAGCAGGTTGTCGGGTCCCGGCTTTTCCCCTACATTATATATATACTAGAATAGTTCACCTATAACATGGATACGACAAATATTGGTGAGTCAAATACTGCTGTTTTCTTTTCTCCCATAACCCCCGTAAAACTGGAAACAAGAATCGTGTATTTCCCACAAAATATCTATTTTTTAAGGTATGATATGAACGTTAAAGGAGAAAAATAAATCACCGATTTCTGACAGCCGGTTATTATGTTTATCCAACACCTCATTAGTTAGTTTTCAGATTGTTAAAAGACACACTTCAAACCTTTCATTTGTATGCAGGTTTTTTTTAGATAATTTAAAATTAACTAACTAGTTAGATAAGCATAAAAACCAACCAGCACGGACCAGGGCCCAGTTGTTCGAAAGATTATTAGCTTAATCACTATTTAACGACATTGTTCAACCTTTAATAATTTCGTCAATATACAAGGTAAAAAGTTGTAATTTTACACGCAAATTTACTCTACTAAGTACTTGATATCTAGAAAGTTTGAACTCGGTTGATTATTGCATTTCAAAGATACAAAAAAATCGAAATTTGCGCTTATCACTGTTTAGCTAATCACCCTTTGATCAACTGGACCCAGTAAGTGTTTATGTATGACGTTTCGGTGACTAGCACGATACGTACCCTTCAAGAAAATAACAGCACTCGTTGGAGAATCTCTCTATATAAATGAATATAATTTGTCTTGGGTGTGCCGAATATAACGCCTACTTACTCCAATTGAGCATTTGTTCATAGTTATATATTGTCATAGTTTCCATAGTTTACTTCAAAAATGCATAATATTGCTTTACCGTTTTAATTAAAAATGACAGACCTACAAAACATACAAAATTTACGAAAAAAATTGAAGCAAGGTCGCTTGATTCGAAGTTCTCTGAACTTCATGTTTAGAGACAGGTACACATCAATAATCATTACGACCTCCAACTGTTTTATCTACAAGGTTACATAGGCTTTGAATTTCGGATTTGCTGTACTTCAGTTCGGAAGTGCAATTAAGAACTTAGGAAAGAGTAGCACTAAGTTTAAGCGTTTTAAAAACACGAATAAAACAACAATGTATTTCAAAATTTGTATTTATTCAATGATGACTATATTTTTAAATATTTCAATATATATTCTTACGGCAACTATTAGCAATGCTCTGGCTCGCATGTTTTTTATTTCTCCCACAATCACTAGGTTTCCTCACGCTCGACTTATTTGATAAACCTGCTAGGAGTTGGTAAACATTTTTGGTTACTCACTAGGTGGGTAACATTGTGGACGTTATGCCATTGGTCATTCTACTAATTATGATGTCAAGTAACGGTGCTTTGTGACGTCATATTCCATTGTGACGTCATGGTTCATGGCAATTGTTTGCCCGGTTGGTAAACAGGAATAAGGTATTACAGAAACATACAGTTTTCTAGATAAAATGTCTGAATGTTGTGGGAGAAAAAGGCCCAAAACACTTGATGGTTGATTATCATGTAGCTAACTGTCGTTAGTTAATTTTCAAATTATAAGACATTCGGTAATCCTCGAGTCTTTATATAATATAAACAATCAACACTAAATGAAGTTACATTCAACAGATAACTAACAATCACTTGTTCGGGTACCTCTATATGACTAGCCATAGCAAGGCATTTCACGATTAAGTAAATATTTAGCAATATAAACTTGCTATTTTGCGTTATAAATCATGTTAAGTACATCATTTCAATTTATAATCCTACAGACAGCGTGGTGACTTCCCACCATGGTCATAAATTGACTTTATAGCATTATATGATTCATGTCAGGAGTTTGTGATTAAACATGTTGCTATTCACGTTGGCATTCAATAAAACGGTCAATATCACTCATACTGTATGTACATTTACTTATTTTACTCAGTATTGCCTTGTCTTGGCAAAGCAAACACATAACAAAACAGAAGTTATTACAAATTATTTTACGCGGATCTTATGGTACCTCTGCCCTTAGACGTAAATCATCATCTTTATTAGAGTCCGCAGTCAGAAAACACAACAAATCCAACAGGACATACATAATCAACTGAATGTGTAACAATCAACAGACAGGTACAAACAGATCCCTCGTATATTACGGCAGTATACCCTAAGGATTTATTATACAGTTATTCAATATCTCTCCATGGTATAATAAAAGAAAACAGACGAGTTGCCGATGACTGACCATGAGTTATCTTCAAGACCATATACAGCAAATTTAATTTTAACCTTATGAATGGATGCTGATCCGGCAAAAGAACCGTTTTGCTTGATCGAATTTGCAGTTTTAGTAAAGTGTTTATCCGACCAGTCGGAACGAGTAGTTCAAAACCATTTATGACACAAGGGTCCTGCTCGATTCGACCACCGGCGAGTAAGCCGGCGGTACCAGCAGAGTGGACATATCACTCGATTATGTCAAATATTGCGGCGGTGGGCCACCCGACGTAAGCTGGATCGCTCGCCTTGCTGTTACCGGCGCAGCCGGCAACAAGCATGGCGGATGAATGATAAGATTCTCGCAGTGTGAGATAAAACTTGTGTTCTGTGACTGATTTCTCGTGAAAGTAGTTTTCAAAGATCATATCCGACTGATCTGGTCTGACCATGAACATTACAAAATCAGCATATTTTAATAATAATAATTCGAGGTTCTTACATACCGCATTATCACAACCTAGTTCGTAGGTCGTCTCAAAGCGGTTCACAATTATCCGTGGTAATAGGGCCTTTGCAACCAGACAATACCTTTCTCAACTACCTGGGAGCATACAGCCGGAGCTGCCATTTCGGCGCTAACACCTGCCATTCAACAATTCTAGCACTGCCCAACCACGTACCCATTTATAGCTGAGTAGACTGGAACAAGCGGAATAAAATATCTCGCTGTGCCGTGACTCAACCCGCAACCCTTCGGTCACCAGCCCGGCGTCCTACCACTAAACTACCGTGCTTCCGTGACGTTATAGAAAAACAATCGATAATATGTCAATTATAATTGTAAAATTAAATAACGGAATTATGCTGTCAAGAGGTTGATTGCTTCAAAACTGTCTCTAAGACATAACACGAGAGACCGTCCGCCCTGACTCGCTACACATAGGACGAAATGACGTAATCACGTCTGATACCACATTGTGTTAAATCAAAATCAGCATAGCAACTGTTAACTTATTATTATTAGGCTTTCAGAGCACAAACGACACTTTGAATATATTTCTGGAATTATAATTCCTCCTCACTGTCCCCATAAAATATCAAATATAGCATGTATGCAAATAGTTAATTAAGTAAGAAAACAGCAAAGTCGCAAAATGAATATTTTTCTTGATGTAGAATTCTTAAATAATCTGTAAGGATTTCACTCGACTCAGAGACCAAACAAAACCCGGATATTTGACCGACCAATGTCCGAGATTGAACCCATTTATGGGATCAACAGCTGTTGTTTATATTACGACAGGTCAAGTTGTCCATATTTTCCTTTCTATGTGTTAATTGTATCAGAATGTTCTCTAATTCGCCATAATTGCCAATGGTTGCAAAAGGCCAAAGGCTCCGTCAGATTGTTATATGTCATCTGCCATCACATTTTTGCCGTTGTATCCTTCAGCGGAAAATCTTTATCTGCTTGCTGTAAAAGAAATAACAGGAACTTCTCCATTTCTTCACACTTCAGGAGATGTTTAGAAACTAAGTCTTTCAAACGACCTTCTTCAATATGCGACAAGAATTTTTTCCCATACCTTTCTTTATCCACTGCTGCCAAGTTGAAAACATTTCTTAGAAACGTTAACTCCTCGGCAGAATTATTGACCAAGACAGCTTTGCAGATGACCTCCTCTAAATTTCCTTTTTCCCAGCAGTGAATCCTGGCTTTTGACAACTCATCTTTTATAACAGCAGGTGAAATTTCTTTTTCCTTTTCCGGCCATTCCTTCACACCAAGCATTTCTTGTATTTTCCTTTGTTCAAACTTGTCCTTGTTTGGATCTAGTAAGGCTTTGACACATAGTGCAACTTTTTTCTCCACATCGTTTTTAGACTGTTGTATCAAACTAACTGCCTCACTGAACATTTGTGTATTGTTGTTTCCCTTTGGTGTTTGGTATGGACGACAATTATCCACTACTTCAATACATTTATCAATATCATCTTCTTCAATATTATGGTCTCTTAATTTCCTCCTCATTTCTGAATGATATTCCTCCTTCGTCTTCTTGACGTTTTTCTGTAGTTCTTGTTTGACTTCTTCTATCTGATTATTTCCATTGTAGTCCGCACCACCGAAATCTTTCAAAAGTGTTTTTACATGCTTCCATCTATCTGTCAATCTCGTGCATGAGTAGGCTACATCTATATCCAGCAACAAAATGTATGGAAGTTCAATTGTTCTTGCCATGTCCGTCAAGTTTTTTCGACAGGTCTGCCCGTCCATATTAACAACTGCAAGTCCAGAAACTAATTTTCTTAAACTTTCCAGATTGTCGTTTCCTTTATCTTTATAAGCGTTTACTGATTTGAAATCTTCGAGGGAAAAGTCAGGATGAAGAATTTGGTCAAATACCATAGTCATGACCAATTTGTCGTGTATCCCTTCGACAAATAAAACGGACGCCGCAAACATTGTGTTTTTCAATTCTTCATGAATGAGTCTCACCCTCATGTTGTCGTCGGATTTGACTTTCAATACACTGTGAACAGAGTTTCCTTCTTTGTCGCGCTTTTGTCGACAAACAAACGTACGGTGGATAGCCCAGTGATGAATCATGGCTGGGTTGTGAGATACCAGCAGCAAAACCTTTCCTTTACGGTGTTGAGACCGCAAGACAAGATCCCTCATCTTCTCTATCATTTGAGGATGCATGCCTTTGTCCGGTTCCTTCAAACAGATCGTTTTATAATTCTTCTGGGCCAAAATCAAGGAAAAGTGCATTGCTTCTATAATTCCTTCAGGAACCCGTAGTAACTCGAGACGTGTGGGGGCATTTTTCTTTCCGTTTTGCAGGTAGATATCATACTTTTTTTCTTTATCATCTGTTTCGTCTTTTTTTCTGACGACTTTTTTGAATGTAAATTCAAATGGATATATCAACGTTGCGAAAATATTCTTTGCAGTTTGCAGATCTTCAGTTTCTTCTGGAGGGAGTAGCTCTTGAAGGATCTCTGCCCTATCGTTTGCATCATCGTGTTTCTTTTTTCTTCGCTTCTCTCTTATCGTTTCGTTGTTCCCTTTGTCTTCATCGCCTGGCTTGTCAAAGACACTCTTGTCCCACTGGACTGGTCCAATGGACCTCTTCGCGAAAACCGAAACAGAGACGTCGGAAATTGCCTGAAACAGTCCCAAACATTTTGATCGTAACAATTCAGATGATTCGCTATCATGGGCATGTTCATATTCTTCACTATTATGAGTGGTTTCAAGTCCTTTGAAAAACTTCAATAGTTTCTGAAGTTCCTCTGTTCTTTTGCGACTGTCACCGTTTATGCAACCCAGAAACTTTTGGAAGGCTTTGTTCACGTCTACCAATGTTTGAGTTTTTACAAAAGTGGATTTCTGATCACATTTCCAAATATTTAAAAAGGAATGTGTGTTTTCTCCGATCTCCACTTGGCCTAATTTATATACCTTGTAGACGTTTTCCGTTGTGCCATCTCGTTCTTTTTCCTCCTGTTTTCGTTCTTTTTCTTCTTTTTGTATAATGATACAGCCAACAACATTACAGTTCCCCTTGATCTCTTTGACTCCACATAATTCACCTAATTTTGTTATTGTTTCTGTACATTCAGGTTTGTCTTCAACAAGATATTTACTGATGATGTAAGCAGGTTTGTCTTCATCATGGATTCTATAATGAGATATGTATTCCTTTGTAGAGACACAACGTCTGATAAGATCCAAAATTAATCCTTTTCCAACAGCGTTACTGCCTATGATAAAATTCGCTCCTTCTTCGAATTCTAGCTTCTGGTAGCCGACGAAATTTCCGAAGTTTTCAAATGCAACTGATTTCAACATCTTACCTGCAACATATAAATACATCATACTTAAAACATAGCACCTCCTTTGCTCTGGATACCCCCGTTACGGTGCATAGAAAATGCAATACTTGTGAGTCTATAAAACCATTACGCCAAGTGAAAGAAAACTGTTTTAACATCGCCGATATGACTTTGACAATACTGACTTTGCTTTTCTGTCACTATTCTTCTGTAAAAGGATCGGTTTTTCACTTCAAAACCAACACCCAGGTTCGGTGATCTTGGGTCCGTTAGGGTCTTACAGTCTAATATGATGGAAGTTTGGCAAATAAATACAGAAATATAAAATTCAGGTAGTTAATAATGACATGGAATATCTACGCACAGGGACATGAGTTTATATCACACTGTCACGCACTCGAGCACACATACACCTCAATAACATGGCTTTATTTACAGGTGATACAATGCCTAACTGACTATATATTTCCTTGGGTCGTTTGACCCATCGGTTTCAAAAGTAAGATACATCATACTTAAAACATAGCATCTCCTTTGCTCTGGATACCCCCGTTACGGTGCATTGAAAATGCAATACTTGTGAGTCTATAAAACCATTACGCCAAGTGAAAGAAAACTGTTTTAACGTCGCCGATATGACTTTGACAATACTGACTTTGCTTTTCCGAGAAATGCACCAATTGGCTTTAGCAGCGTAGATTAACTTTATAAAACATAAATACTTTATGAAAATTGATATGCAAGTGCGCAAGGTGTTATAGCCCTATAACACGAATTGCTAACAATCGTTAAAGAAAAACAGTCACTTTCTATTAAACCTATTTTTTGTTCACCCTTCATAAAAGGCATAAAACATGTTACCGTCCGTCGTCAGACCTTTAAAAGCCTACTAGTCCAGTATGGCTGAAGTTACCAACTGACAAGATATTTGTTTGAACAGTGTTATACATGTTTGTAGAGTCAGTCAATTTAAAAACAGTTTTATGAACCACTCGGTAATCGCTGTTAACTAAGGTATTGAGTAGATTGGCGACAGAGCGAGTACGTTAGTACAAAGGAGGCTACGTCACACTGTCCTATAGTTCTTTACAGTGTTATATAATACACACGTGTACCATGCCCGGGTACGATATGTCTACTGTCAATTACAGCACTAATAGTTCGCGTAATATGTGCAGTCATTTAAATTAGATTTAAGTAGCACAGAGGTAATTATACGAACATAAAAACGCCATACTGGTGGCACACTAAATCTGTCACTATACTTCTGTAAAAGGATCGGGTTTTTTCACTTCAAAACCAACACCCAGGTTCGGTGATCTTGGGTCCGTCAGGGTCTTACAGTCTAATATGATGGAAGTTTGGCAAATAAATACAGACCGAAATATAAAATTCAGGTAGTTTATTAATGACATGGAATATCTAAGCACAGGGACATGAGTTTAGACCACACTGTCAAGCACTCGAGCACACATACACCTCAATAACATGGCTTTATTTACAGGTGATACAATGCCTAACTGACTATATATTTCCTTGGGTCGTTTGACCCATCGGTTTCAAAAGTAAGATATATTTACAATATCTACAGACAATACAATACAATACATGCAATACATACAATACAATACCAGCAATGTACAAACAGTATACAGACGGCTACACGGCCATATACCTATGAAATAGACGACGACATGGTTCAAACACGACTCTAAAACTTCTACAAAAATACTACATGGCTACAGAGAAACTACTGCTAGTACTGTGACTGGTAAACTATCTACGCTAACATTACACTATTGCGTTTTAGAGACCCTATACCTACAGCTACTCCTAAAGTAGAAAAAAAGTGAGCCGAACCAGTCCTGTCAAGACTTTTATTCTGACTGCCGAAGCACACAGGTGTACCGGCTTAAATAGGCAAAAACACGGCACTTTGCACGTGCAATAGTCGCGCAAAATTCCTCGGAACATTTCCGCTGTTGCTATAGAGTTCCGAACAGTATATCAACTTCCGGTATATCGATCATGATGGAAGACTATGCCTGGTAAGCAGACAGCCGTCAAATATAACTCTTTAAAGTTTACAAATTTCCTAAACTTTTACACTTCATTTATGTTGTAGTGGATTATATTGATCACATGACATAACGTTTTGTTTCCCTCATGTGCTCGTTCGAAGCCTTTCTTGAAAAATAGGGCAAGAGGCATCACACCGGAGTCCCGAGTAACTGAAACAGACGACAGACAATGCTGCTTGTAGGAGGAATTATTTGTATGGCGCCCATGAATCCGTCTTAAACATATTGCTTTTTTTGTGAATACCCTCGATAATATAGGGGTTACGCTCACTTTCGCTTTCTGCATCCCTGGAATATGTCATAGCAAAATTGAAGGCCCGCGACTGGCTAATTTATTGGTCTGGGGTATAAAAACCTGACCATTAACTAAGGCGACACCCGACTTCAAAATCAGCCATTTTTACGCAAACTACAGATTCTTCTGATAAACATCAAAAGATTAAACTAGTCTTCTAGTCTCATCTACACGTTTGTACACACTGAGTCTTCAATTTTGCTATGACATATTCCAATGGTGCAGAAGGCGAAAGTGAGCGTAGTGAGTGACGTAGCACTTTTCTTTCTGAGAAACGCAAACATCCAGCGTCAACGAAGTTAATTGACCATGAAACATAGGCCTTATTCAGCATTTGTAGTTAATAGTATACATCAAGTTGCATGACTACCCTAGCACGTGTCACAATGTAAAAATAATTGTCCGACTCAAACGAAAACTGAACATTGACGCTTAATTAGTGAAAATGTTGACTTGCCATCTCCTCAGACTCCGGCGAAAACGCAACACTCTAGATAAAAATCTTATATTTACTGCAATCTGTGTATTCAAGTAAAGAATATGATTTTGCGTGGAACATCTTGTTATAATCGGAGGAATGCGCGTCTTTCTATCATTATCCATAACGCTAGTCAATAAAATAACCCTAAGCTACATGAAGTAGTTTGTTACGTTGTATCGCCTAGAATGATCGTTTATCAAAATTAGGAATCAGTACATCAGTATAGTGTCCCTATCGACTCGATCACAACACGCCTTTAGTAAGACATTACAGTATATAGCTACCTTCATTTTTCCGATACGGATGTTCCTCTCTTGATCAATGTCTGTGGTAGTGTGACTTGTTCTAGTGTCAAATTTAAAGCGGTCATATTTAAACCGTGTCAGAACTTGCTATCGAGATAGGGTTTCTAATGTGCGCAATTCGTTGTTTCCTTCAACGAAATTACATGTTCCTGTATGTTTAATACACAATATGTTTTTCATAACGCATTGTTAGATTTGCGACTGGTTAAAACCAAAAACTACATAAGCGATATTGTTAAGCAGAAGAATATCTATGAGAGATATAGTAATAAGGAGGCAATCAGCGTATAGGGCTGTCTTTAGACAACGTAAATACAAAATGTTTCTCCCCGAAACATCGATTAAATCCATGCTAACAATGTCTATTCACTTATTAAAGATACCAGTACGTCACGTTCATCATACACGTAAATACACATCTGAATTTATTATGCAACAAATATACATAACTAGAGCACGGACAACACATGCTGTACAGATCGTTTGAATGGGAACTTCCTTGTAGACGTATTGACAAACAATATACCAGTGACCATATCACACCAAGAATGTTTATTTAATAATGAGCTGCCCATACATTCGTATGAAAATCGTCAGAAGAGCTTTCCCTGTTTCTGGAAAACACTAAGCCTAACGGAAATCTAGAGCATGTTTTTCCAAGTACAATCCTTCCGTTTTTACTTGATATATATAGTGATCAGTGTCCAAGGTCAAATGTCCGATGGTCAGAAGGCGTATTAATCTAAAGTCCCGATAGCGTGAGGCTCGGTGGTTCGAACAGACTCCTTAGTCCAAAAAATACAGTTTGTGTTTAATTTAGGTCAATGTTTTACAGACGACAACACCAATCTAATAAAATCACAGGGACAGTAACTACACCTGCCAATTTTGCAAAGCCATGGAACTGTATTTAAAAATTAAACAGACTGGAAATGTTGTTCACTATGACTTACAGATAATTTACTACACAGCATTTGACCAAGTTGTTCATTTCCCAGTTGAAATTTTCTGGTCAGTTTCTTGTATCGCCGCTTGCCACTAACTCAGAGCATGTCCATATCACAGCTGAATCACACAAAACTCTATAAGTGTAGTGATACAAAACATATCTTTATTAATATTTTTATCTGTTTGATATATTGGTCTATTCTAACGCTTGGAAATATGAATTTCTGAAGAATAGAGCTTCGCGTTTGTGCCACGCGCAGTCTTTCATGCTGGTTACTGTAGATATCACCTCAATTAATTGTTAGTGATGGCCTATCTTCATGACAAACTGAAGTACTATGGTTCTAGACCTAAACAATCTTAGATACTGCCGTTTGAAGTTTTTAACAAATCTGAACCCTAAGGCCGAGGTCATTCATTTTTGGTAATTTCAGCCATACATGTCTTCAACATATATCTTAAATATTATCCATCTCCCTTACAAAGTAAATCTTTTAAGTACCTAATGTTTGAAATGATATATACTCAATATTTATAGATTTATTAATGTCTTCTACGATACAGCAGAACTTTGTTAAGCCAGGATGTTGGATATTTTGCTCTCCAAGGACCTCAATCTTAAGAATGTGATCACTAAAATATTGAAAAATCTCACTTCATGAAGAAAGATCAAAGTGTCCAGAATTGTATCAACATTAGATAACAATTTATTCCAAACCACATTTTCTGTGTATAAGAACAAAAAATAACAGTAGCTGTTTTATTGTAATGTTAAGCTGAAGAATATCTACGAGCGATTAATCAGAAAGAATGGAGGCCAATGGTTTTAGTGCAGTCTTCTGTCTATAAAATACTTAAGTATTATTAGTATACAACATTTTATTTCAAAATACTTCGTCTGTGTAAAACTTAAGAATGTCCATTCACAGTATAAAGAAATACCAGCTGTTCACGTTCACCTCAAAGGTACACATATGGAGTTATGACGTAACAAACATGAGAAAAGCACAGAAGGCATACGATATACAGGTCGTTTGTAATGGGACAATGTCCCTGTATCCGTTTATATCCAAGTGTCCTTACAACACTAAGACTATTATCTTCCTTTTAAATAATGAGTTGCCTGTACATTTGTATGACCGTCAGAAGGGCCTTTTTCCTGTTTTCGGGGCAACTCTAGGCCTTACGGAAATCTGGGGCATGTTTTCTATTACTAATCGATCAGTGTCAGGGTCCAAGGCCCGATAGCCAGAAGGCGTATTAATCTAAAGTCCCGATAGTGTGAGGCTCGGTGGTTCGAACAGACTCCTTAGTCCGAAAAACACAGTTTGTGGTTAAATTTAGGTCAATGTTTTACAGACGACCCCAGTCTAATAAAATCACAGGGACAGTAACTACCCTGCCAATTTTGCTAGGCCATGGAACTGTATTTAAAAATTAAACAGACTGGAAATATCGTTCTCTATGACTTACAGATAATTTACTACACAGCATTTGACCAAGTTGTTCATTTCCCAGTTGAAATTTTCTGGTCAGTTTCTTGTATCGCCGCTTGCCACTAACTCAGAGCATGTCCATATCACAGCTGAATCACACAAAACTCTATAAGTGTAGTGATACAAAACATATCTTTATTCATATTTTATCTGTTTGATATATTGGTCCATTCTAACGCCTGGAAATATGAATTTCTGAAGAATAGAGCTCCGCGTTTGTGCCACGCGCAGTCTTTCATGCTGGTTACTGTAGATATCACCTCAATTAATTGTTAGTGATGGCCTATCTTCATGACAAACTGAAGTACCATGGTTCTAGACCTAAACAATCTAAGATACTGCCGTTTGAAGTTTTTAACAAATCTGAACCCTAAGAAGGCCGAGGTCATTTATTTTTGGTAATTACAGCCATACATGTCTTCAACATCTATCCTAAATATAATCCATCTCCCTTACAAAGTAAATCTTTTAAGTACCTAATGTTTGAAATGATATTTACTCAATATTTATAGATTTATTAATGTCTTCTACGATACAGCAGAGCTTTGTTAAGCCAGAATGTTGGATATTTTGCTCTCCAAGGACCTCAATCTTAGGAATTAGATCACTGAAATATTGAAAATCTCCCTTTATGAAGAAAATCAAAGTGTCCGGAAGTGTATCAACATTAGTTAACAATTTATTCCAAAATACACTTTCTGTGTATAACTACAAAAATAAAGTTGGCTTTTTATTGTATTATTAAGCTGAAGAATATCTACGAGAGATTAATAAACAAGAGGCCCAGAGGGCCTGTATCGCTCACCTGAATGTGTTTAAAATAATTGGTATGAAGTAAAGATATAGCACGCAATGGTAGGTGCTGTAAGTACATAAGAAATTTCAGAAAGATCCATCCAGTACTTGAGATACAGCGAGAACAAATTTGAAACAGAGCCCCACCCCTATGCCCCTAGGGGGTCATACCCACTGTTTATACAAAATTAAGTCTCCTTGGCCAAAGGATGCTCCAGACGAAATAAGGATAAAATACCTTAATCCCCATGGTCGAAGAAGGATTTTAAAGGTTTTACCTCTATTTCCCCTATTGGGCCCCGCCTCTCTGCCTCCAGGGAGAATAGACACACAGTTTATACAAAATTGGTTCCCCTTCACCCGAAGATGCTTCATACTAAATTTGGACAAAATCCTGCCATTTGTACAGAAGAAGAAGGTATTTGAAGAATTTGCTATGTTTCCCCTATTGGGCCCCTCCCTTCTGCCCCCAGGGGGGCCACACTCATTGTTTTTACTAAATCGAGTCCCTTTTGCCCAAGGATGCTCCAGACTTATTTAGGATACAATCTCTTAATCCCTATGGTAGAAGAAGGATTATAAAGGTTTTACTTCTGTTTCCCCAATCGGGCCCCACTCCTCAGGTCCCAGGGGGGCCACACCCACCGTATATACAAAATTGGTTCCCCTTTACCCAAGGATGTTCCACACCAAATATGGACCAAATCCTTTCATTCCTACAGAATAAGAAGGATTTTAAAGAATAATTTGCTATGTTTCCCCTATTGGGCCCCGCCCCTCAGGCCCCTGGGGGCGAGACCCACGGTTTATTCAAAATTGAGTCCCCTTGGCCCAAGGATGCTTCAGACCAAATATGGAACAAATCCTTTCATTCCTACAGAAGAAGAAAGATTTTAAAGAATTTGCTATGTTTCCCTATTGGACCCCGCCCCTCAGCCCCCAGGGGGACCACACTCATTGTTTTTACTAAATTGGGTCCCTTTTGCCCAAGGATGCTCCAGACTAAATAAGGATAAAATCCCTTAATCCCTACGGTAGAAGAAGGATTTTAAAGGTTTTACCTCTATTTCCCCTATTGGGCCCCGCCCCTCTGCCCCCAGGGGGGCCACACCCACCGTTTATACCAAATTGAGTCCACTTGGCCTAAGGATGCTCTATACCAAATTTAGTTAAAATCTACTTGGCGGTTCAGGACTAGTAGCGTTTTAAAGGAAAAGTTGACGGACGGACGGACGGACGGACGGACGGACGGACGGACGGACGGACGGACGGACGGACGGACGACGGTCGACGGACGCTGCGGTATGGTATAAGCTCACCATGGTCCTAAGGACCAGGTGAGCTTCAAAAAAACCGAGGCCATCGGCTACTTCAATATTATTATTCTTAGTTTATATTTTATTTCAAAATACTTCGTCTGTGTAAAACTTAAGAATGTCCATTCACAGTATAAAGAAATACCAGCTGTTCACAATCACCTCAAAGGTACACATATGGAGTTATGACGTAACAAACATAAAAAAAAGCACAGAGGGCATACGATATACAGGTCGTTTGGAATAGGACAATGTCCCTGTATCCGTTTATATCCAAGTGTCGTCACAACACTAAGACTATTTTCTTCCTTTTAAATAATGAGTTGCCTGTACATTTGTAGGAAAACCGTCAGAAGAGCTTTTTCATGTTTTCGGGAAAACTCTAGGCCTTACGGAAATCTGGGGCATGTTTTCTATTACTAATCGATCAGTGTCAGGGTCCAAGGCCCGATAGCCAGAAGGCGTATTAATCTACAGCTCCGATAGTGTGAGGCTCGGTGGTTCGAACAGACTCCTTAGTCCGAAAAATACAGTTTG